TCTGATTGAAACTCAGGCTGATTAGAAGTGCTCAGGAGGAAGTGAGTGCAGCTGACCTTATATTTTCTTTGCCCTTTACTGACAGGAGCACAGAAACAGTTTCAAACAGTGTGTTGTTTACACCCATCACTACATTAGACTTGAAAGGAGCAATTGGCAATCAATCTGTAGTATTCATTAGACAAAAGGCGGCAGCAGAAGAAGCTTGTCTTACTCTTCTGCAAAACTTGTCTTAATGTTTGCTTCTTGTAAATAAAAATGTTTTTTTTTTTTTTTTTTCCACCTGTAGAAAATATCTGAATTAAAAAAAAAAAAAGAAGAAAAAAAAAAATCAAAACGGGTAGAGGAAATACTAAAAAAATCTATTTTACATCTGCAAATTTATTAGTTTGTGGCACATAAATCCTATATTCAGTGATGGCATCAACAATTGAAACAGTTACACTATATAAAAAGATGCACACATATTTTTGCCTCATATTCCAGTATAAGATCTTAATAACCTGTTACTGTTATAAATGGAAATTTGTGTTAGTTATTTTTTTATTCATAAAGATTATTTCTATCTGCTAAATTCCAGAATTATATAAAAAAAAATTACTGTATCTCTTTCTCTATATTTATTAGTTTACACACCCTAAGATCTCTATACCTTTAAACACTTTGGGAATGCCCAGGTAATATTTTGTCTTTGGAATCTTATGATAGACTTACTGACAGCATCTATGCTGATGTGAAATTAATTTACAACAATCAAATCCTTCTTATCATTGTTGATCAGCTTCTTTTGATCCCACTGGTATTCTAGATTAATCCTTGGTGTGGAAGCTTAAGGTCTTTGAAGTAGGGAGTCATCCTGACACCATTACTGTACTTAAATCTTAACATCCCACTTAGCAGGCATCAAAACATCATTATAGCTTCCTGACAGAATACCAATCAAATGGGTTTTATTTCTAGCTATATATAGAAACAGTAGGTCTCAGTACCCTGATTTCCAAATTGGGCAAAAAAAACCCCCAAACAAAATATTAAGAATGCAAAATAAACTCACTTCATGAGTATTTTAAGAACAAAAAAGGGAGGAAAAAAACATCTGGTGAAGAGCTTGTTTGGAGGAATTGCTGTTAGAGCTCAGAGGTGTATTTTTTTTTAAACAAGAGAAGTTCTTTATATTCCTCACTATGATTTGTTCAAGAATATATGTTTTTTTATCATGAAAAAATATTTCTCATGCAATTGTGTTTTAAAGTATGATAATGTCAGGTTCAATTAAAGTTAAATTTACTATAATAGGATTTATGTCTAAGAAAAGGCGTTGCTTTATTTCTCCCACATTCAAAGTGTGGCTACCATCAGCCACAGGCACCCTGTTTATAAATGGACCAGATATTCAACCTGCCAACCAGGGGAAGAATAAATGAGTCCACTTTTGGCAGGGTTACAACAGGAATGGCACCAGAAGGAACTGGGCCCAGATAATTATTATTTTAATGGTAATGGACTAGAAACAGGAGCCTCACTGGGCCTATTTTGACATTCAAATACATTGCTAAGATACTTTAATTGAAAGGAAATTAGAAATTTGCACTTTTCCTCTGGTGCATTAGTCATCACAGAGATCTCAGAGATATCCATGTAAACAGAAATATCCTGTATGGTGAGGTCCGCTCTGTGGCCCAGTCCATTTATTCCATTACGGTACATTAAATTAATGTTAAGGCATTTTAAAATAATTTCTTAGCAGTAAAATGCAGGAGAGCGGAATCCATTTTTCAGCTTGCTAAAACATATTTTAAATCTCCATAGTACGAGTCTGGAAAAATAACCTTCAATGATATCTGTTTATAAACATATTTTCTTTTTTAAAGTAATCTACTTTTTTATGAGTCTTGTTTTGAAACTTTTTTCACAATCCTCTGATAATTCCATTAGTTGTGCTGTGGATCTTTATATAAATTACATTTCTGTATAGGTTATAAAAAAAAATTAAAACTAATATTTATGTATTTGAAATCATTTCAAAACCAGAGATCTGTTGTTATTAACTAGAAAGTGGCATGCTGAGAGTTCTGGTAGTTTAATATTAAAGGAACTTGTAGGAATGAGCGAAGCCGGCAGACAGGCAAAGCAGCAGAATACAAAGCAGAACATCAGACTGAACTCAAGGAAGAAATTGTATGAATCATGCAGGACAAGCAGAAAAACCATAAACAAATTTGGGAGAAGGGAAACTTAAAAAGAACTAAAACAGTTGGAGATAAAAGGAGATAATGAGTGATAACAGGCGGAAAAAGAAAAACCTGAGAGAATTAGCAGGCAGAGGGCATAATAAACAAGAAGAAAAACAGGATCTAATCTGCAGAGGAATATTTAAGAATGTGAAGCATAATAAACATGAAAAGATGCAAAACCAGCAAGGAACGAAAACAGATATCTGAGAACTGAAACCTGATGGAATGTAACATAAAACAGAAAATCTCATCAGAACAATGAAACCAGGAAGAAACAAAATATGATACAGAAAATTGAGATGTTCCCAGTGGGAAATGCCCAGAAGCCTTCCCTGGGAAGGCATCAGGAAAATCACCTTCACCAGTTGGCCACAGGACCTTCGAGTTAAGTCATATTACAGCAATTTACTCCTACGGAGGCACTCTTTAGTTGCCCTGGCTGTTTGTTTTGGGTCGTTATCATGCTGGAAGACCCAGCCACGACCCATCTTAAGTGCTCTTACTGAGGGAAGGAGGTTGTTGGCCAAAATCTCACGATACATGGCCCCATCCATCCTTCCCACAATATGGTGCAGTTGTCCTGTCCCCTTTGCAGAAAAGCATCCCCAAAGAATGATGTTTCCACCGCCATGCTTCACGGTTGGGATGGTGTTCTTGGGGTTGTACTCATCATTCTTCTTCCTCCAAACATGACGAGTGGAGTTTAAACCAAAAAGTTCTATTTTTTGTCTCATCAGACCACATGACCTTCTCCCATTCCTCCTCTGGATCATTCATATGGTCATTTGCAAACATCAGACGGGCTTTGACATGCGTTGGCTTGAGGAAGGGCACCTTGCGTGCACTGCAAGATTTTAATCCTTGACGCCGTAGAGTGTTACTGATTGTTTTCTTTGAGACTGTGGTCCCAGCTCTATTCAGGTCATTGACCAGGTCCTGCCGTGTAGTTCTGGGCTCATTCCTCACCTTCCTCAAGATCAATGATGCTCCACGAGTTGAGATCTTGCATGGCGCCCCAGACCGAGGGAGATTTTCTGTTATTTTGTATTTCTTCCATTTTCTAATAATTGCACCAACTGTTGTTGCCTTCTCACCACGCTGCTTGTCTATTGTTCTGTAGCCCATCCCAGCCTTGTGCAGGTCTACAATTTTATCCCTGATGTCTTTACACAGCTCTCTGGTCTTGGGCATTGTGGAGATGCTGGAGTGTGATTGATTGAGTGTGTGGGCAGGTGTCTTTTATACAGGTAACGAGTTCAAGCAGGTGCAGTTAATACAGATAATGAGTAGAGAACAGGAGGGCTTCTTAAAGAAGAACTAACATGTCTGTGAGAGCCAAAATTCTTACTGGTTGATAGATGATCAAATACTTATTTCACACAAAAAAATGGAAATTAATTATTTAAAAATCGTACATTGTATTTTTCTGGATTTTTGTTTTAGATTCCATCGTTCACAGTTGAAGAGTACCTATGATAAAAATTACAGTCTTCTACAAGCTTTCCAAGTGGGAAAACCTGAAAAATCAACAGTGTATCAAATACTTGTTCTCCCCACTGTAAGATGTAGAAGGCATAGGATCAGGACTAGAAGCTGCTGTTCAACAAAGAGGGTCAACCATCAGATTTTAAGACTAAACTGGAATAAGTGGCTGTGCTTTCAGCTAAGAGGAGACTGCAGAGTTAACTGACAGCAGCTCAGATTGATTACAGGATTTCAGGGAGCTATAGGTGCTCACTGGATGAGTGCATGGTGATATGTGTGCGCATGTGTGTGCGTGTTTGGCTACAGCTGCTCCCTCTCTCCCTCCCCTCTATGCTTTCAGTCGTCTCTAGGTCCTGCATTTGCTGGTTGTGCTCGGAGCTCCTGCTGGTAGAAGCGCGCACAGAGAAGAGTGCGGAGGGAAATGCACAAGGCTCTTCCATCAAGTCTCTGTGGCTTCAAACACCGACAAGGAAACCTATTTACCGGCTCTAGGGGATCCTTGATGAACTTTGCCACTGTTTTTCCGTGAATGCAGAATTTTATTTGGCTTTTTCTAGAAAATCCTGAGGATTTCAAGATCCAAAATGACCCACACATGTATCGTAAGTAAGCTAAATATAATAAAATGTAACATTTATGATTTTGTTCTTATAAAGGAAGTAGAGCTTGAGCTGTCTTTAATATATTTTTCTACAAACTCTGCAGACATTGTTTCAATTTGTTTCTTGGAATTATACAACAATTAATAATAGAAATTCTAATAAAAATAACTGTATACCTTTATATGTATTTTACCATGTCCCCACAGGAGGGTAATATTGGTTATTTAGTTTTAGTTTGCTTATGATTGTAATAACTTTAAAAAAAAATTATTTTTAGAGCAAGAACCCTCTTTGCCTCAAGGCCTTGTATTTAAGTTGTCTAATAAATTCAAATAAAAGAAAAGATGCTGAAAATATTCCTATTTGCTGTCCTGTTTGATTTGCTGTCTTCTACTGTTTTTTTCAGACATCAAATTTTGCAGTTGATATCTGTAACGTATGTTTTAAAATGATCAGAATGATGGACCAAACATCCTACAGGGAAAGGATGGAGATGAGGGAGGTATGCACCAGGTTTATCTTCATCAAAGGTGAAAAAGCCTATTAATGCGTGGTAAATTATCAGGATCGAACAGCCACTCCCAGGAGGAATGAACGTGCTTATGTTGCATAAGGAGTGTATTGGGACCACAGATGAACAGCATCATGACTCCAGCTGACTCATAACATGTGGCTCAAGATGGAGAGTGCTTTAGAGATTTTCACCCACATGCTCCTGAGGAACTGGAAGACCACAGGAGTAGAATATGGAACCTGATCCTACATCTCTGGTAAGGAATTTTTTTAGCATGTTTATAGGATCTTAATAACCACTAATAGATTCCTATTTGATAATGAATTTCTGTTCATTCTAGTGCTAGTTTGTCTAATATTTATCTATTTTATTAGAAACAAGCATGGATCAAACCCAGGACCAGCCCAGCTTCTCTCCACTGCTTTGGGAGAAACTCAACGACTCAATGAGTTTCCGCATCACTACAATGCTGACTTCTTCCATCAGCTCCCCTACTGCTCCACTCTACCCTCTCCCCACACTGCGGCCCTCCTCCCTTTCTCCACACACCCCCTTTATCTCATTCCCTCTTTTTTTCCCAACATCCTCCTCAGCCATCAATGAATCCATCAACGTCTCCTCCTTTCCCTTTTCCCTCTCTAACATCTCATACACTGATTTGAAGGACTTGGAGAGTATGCTTCTGTGGACCCTCCATGAACCCAGCACCATCGCCCTGACCATCATGTACTGTTTGTCGTTCATCTTGGGATTTATTGGGAATTTGATGTCCCTACGAGTTCTGACCAGCAGGCACAGTCAGCGGCTCGCAGGTGTCAGTGCCACAAGGAGTCTCCTGGTGAATCTGGCTGTGTGTGACCTAGCTGTGGTGTGCGTATGCATGCCCATCACTCTGGGGAACAAAATCTACACTGCCTGGGTGTACGGTGACCTCCTGTGCCGTGCCGTGCCCTTTACACAGGCCGTCTCAGTGTCTGCCAGTGTGCTGACGCTGACAGTGATCAGCGTGAACCGCTACTACAGCGTTCAATCTCCTCTAAAAGCTCGGTCCATGTTTACACGCCGGAGGATCTTGGTGACAGTCTCCGTGGTGTGGATATTGTCGTCAATGATGTGTGCCCCAATAGCGGTGATGAACCGTCGGCGAGAGCTCAGCTTTGAGACTTTCACCATCTTGGTGTGCCAGGAGGAATGGCCCCAGCTTCGCCTTAAGCAGGGGTAGGTACCACAGACAGATGAAAACAAGTTACTTCACGACTGCTCCACCTACTTTTGAAAAAAAAGTACACATTAAAATTTGAACCTAAGTCAATGCCATTTGTGTGGTGCAATAGTAGCATATATTTATCAAAACAATGTTTTTGGTGCTTTAACATGATGACAGAGATGTTAAACATTGATATGACGTCAATATTGTTTGCTAAATTTGCAACAATGTGATAGAAAATATTAAGCTATTAGTACTAAAGTACTTTTGTTTAAGTTGTCCTGCTGAGTAGAAGGTTACTTTAACCTTTCTAGATAACTTTAGAATCCAGTGACTATTAATTACGTCATAGAAGTGTTTCACTTGTCTGGTATTATATTTGAGCACATCGAGTATGGCTGTTAGGTTAGTTAGCTTCTCTAAATTCTCCTAAGGTGTGAGTGTGTGCATAATTGGTTGTTTGTCCTGTTTGTCTCTGTGTTGCCCTGCGATGGACTGGCGACCTGTCCAGGGCGTACCCCGCCTCTCGCCCATAGAAAGCTAGAGATAGGCACCAGCCCCCCTTGTGACCCCACTTGGGATAAGCATGACGGAAAATGGATGGATGGACATAGAGCTCTAAAAATATACAGTAACTGATTACTTCCCTGCACAGCCCAGAAAACACATTGACTTTCATTTCAATTGTAGCACATTTCCCACCAAAGGATGGGAGCTTGCAAGAGCGGAAAGAGTCACAACATAAATCTACCATATTGACTCCACAGTGTACCAGAGCTGAACAATATTATTTCTTTTTCAGCATCCAGATAGGCTCATCCATGAATAACTGAACCTGAGCTCCAGGGTTAAAAACAACTAAACTAAAAGCCACCCAGGAGTGTTTGGCCCTGCCTGTAAATGATATTTTATGCTAGACTGAGGTAAAGAGGGCTGTCACAGAAACATTTTTGATTTGCTGTGTAATGTGTTTGTAAGTAACTTTTTTCCAGAAAACAGGAGGTAGTAAATAACCTCATCGGGTCCCTTTTTGGTTTATTAGGGCCCAAGAGTCTCAGGTAACAGCCAGTGCATACACTCTTGCATGTTCTGGCATAAATTTAGTTGCTATGTTAATTCGGCTTCATTATTTGTGTATCACCTTTCAATTTGTGAACAAAATAAAGGCAGCAGCCACCAGCCAACCTCATATTGCTGATGTGTTTGTCTATATGAGTGGAAAAGACATTTCCATCATAATAATTTCTTGCATATTCTGTATAATAACAAGTCAAAATTATCATATAGAAAGAGCCAGTAGGCTCCTGATGCATTAAAATAAGTTATACAACATTTTTGAAAGTAATCACTTTGGGCCACATTCAAAGATGACAACTTGATAAAACAAAAGGGTCTTTTTTCTACTCTATCTACAGTGCCTTGCAAAGATAGCTATAGAAAACTTAGATTTTTTATTTTTTGCACATCTGGTAACAAACCAACAAGCGTCTATACTGGCAGAATAGACAGTGCTTTTTTTCTTTTACCATGTTCATAGGCAGAAACCCCTACGGTAGCTCTGGAGAGGCTGCAGAAAAGTTGTCAGAGTACAACCTGACAATGATGGACTCCACCAATTGTTCAAAGAAGGATACAGGAAGTCCCTTTTGACATTTACTGCACATTTACTGGAGACACTGGCAATATATGAAAGAGGAGCTCTTGTTAGATGAGACCATAATTTAAATTTTTGGTTAACATGCAAATTTGCTTTGTGTGGCAAACATCACACCAGCAGTTAAACAGGGTGGTAGCAGCTTTATGCTATGGGGATGCCGTTCTTAAGCAGGGAGAAGAAAATTGGTCAGAGCTGGTTGAAATATAGAGTACATTGAATACAGGGCAGATTTGACATTGATCCTGTTATACTGTATATAATCGTATGACCAGATCTTGAATGGAATAGTTTGGATCAAAGTACTATGTTCATGTGTCAGAATAGTTCAGTGGAAGTCTGGATCTAATCCCGACTGAAAATGTGGCAAGACAAAAGAAATACTTCTGTATATAGAGACTCATTAAATCAGACTAAGCTTCAGTTATTTTACAAAGGTCAAAATGTAGCCTTTACAGATGGGACACAATGATAAAGGCACACCCGCAAACAATTACAAAAAAACTCTAGAAGAATACAATATGTTTTCTAGTTATAATGGAAGTTTGGGGTGTGAGTAGTATTGCAAGGTGTTGTATTTAGTGTGTTGCCTAATAACAAATTTTGTGAAAGATCGGCAAATTTCCTGAAATCTGTTTTTCTTCAGGCTGGCAGTCTGACAGTGGGTGGCCATCTCAGTTATGTGCTAGGGGACAACAGAGAAACAAGAAGACAAAGAAAACAATAGCTGTTTTTTGGAGCAGAAAATCATAAATAACACCCTGAGGTAAATCGGGAACTGGCAACTCTTCCAAGAATTAAAAACCTTAAAGGGCCCTTTTCTTTCATTTGCATTCAAATCAGTAAAATGCTGAAAAACAGATTAAAAAAAGACATGCACCTTCAGAAACGCATGAATACAGTAAGCAGTTTATGAAGACATTAACTTCATACTGAATTTTTTTTATTTGTTTATCTAGATTCATTGGTGAATTTGTGACTTTGATAACTTTTACAGGCTGACTGAGAAAAAAACAAAACAAAGAACAACTTTTCTTATCTTAAAAAATCCGAAATGATTTGAAAAGTTCAAACATATTGTGGATTTATTTTAGTTAAAACAATGTCAAAATAACGTGCGAATGTAAACATGCACATTAATAGTTGAATAAAAATCCCTCAGTTTCAAGTAGATAGGTGGTTGTAACCATCATACAGCTTCTGACATAATGCTGGCTTAATATTTGATTACCAGTAATCACCATGCATAAAAGTTTCTCAGAAAAGACAGACTTAGACCCAATTCTGACTCAACTTAGACCCCAAATGTCAAACTGTGACTTCTGCATTTTACTGAAAGGATGCCTTGCTTGCTTAATGTCAGTAAATGAAGACTGGTTCAACTAATCATGATGTTGTACATATAAGCAGACAGTGAAGTCAATTATGGAGCTTACTGAGAAACAATAGGGAAACATAAACTCCCACTGCTTTTAATTGGTTAAAGGCTATCAGGTCCCTAACCCCCATCCAGTGAAACGATAGCCAAGAGAACGAGCTTGGCAGAATCAGCGGGGAAAGGAGAGCCTGTTGAGCATGAATCTAGTCTGGCACAGGGAAGAGACCTGAGAGGTGTAGAATAAGTTGGAGAGTGCCCTGATGCAGTAACCCCAGTGAGTACGCAGGTTAGTGCTCCAGGTCAGAGAAACAGTTCAGAACCGGACAGCTCCGTGATCCAGTCTGCAGCCCAACCAGGGGTTCCGATCCGAACAGCAACAGAAAGATTCTAGGAATTCTCAGAGCACGAAGACAGGTTCAGAGTTCTATAAGTCCAGTAGCGTGCTCAGACAGACACGCTCAGATGGAAACAGGCAGGCTCAGTGGTAGAGAGGAACATAGACAAGACATGGTACCAGGATAAATGTCAAACCTTAAACTGGTCTCTTCCGAGGAGCCAGGCTTACGGCACTTAAACTGACCTTCCCCACCAAAACGCTGAGGGCTCCATGGAGAAGGACCAGAACCCACGCTCCCCCCCGCACATATAGCCAAAACCTTAAGGACTCAGCGGAGAAGAGCCGGGACACGATCAAGAGACAGGAGACAAACACCCTGCCAATCCACTGGCCTCCAAGAGTTAGGGCATGAACCAGGAACTTAACGAAAACTATAAAAACTAACATGAACATCTCACCCGAATACATAACACAAATAAACAAAGAATACACGAAGAATTAATGATCTGGCCTTGATAGCTGGGCTGGTCTGTACATATAACAGAGGGAGCAGATGAATAACATAAATGATAATTAGAGAGCGGGGATGATGTATGATTTAAACTCTAGTATCTAAAAAACAATGAAGTTGTTGTTTTTTTTTTCCAATTCTTAAAATGTGTACATTATAAAGAACTTTCCAATGTTAATCTTTGAAAAGTGCTACATAGATAAAATGTACTAATTTACTAGTATTTTTCAAATAAAGCATTATAGGATTAATGTTTATTTTAAATACATTTGATTATTTATAACAACCTTGTGCTTGATTGCCAAGTGTATGTATCATTTCCTTAATTTTTGTCAAGACAAATCTATACAGTTTTATAGATAAACACAAGAGGCTTTCATCTGCATAACAACTAAAATTTACGTTGTGCTTTTTTTTTACCCTATTGTACAAAACAAGAGGGTTGTCACATCACTAAGAGTTGTATCCAGTGCAGTTAATATAATTTAAATTGGCCATATCCTCTGTATAAAACACTGTATCATATTTTATAGCTAAATTTGTCAGCAATTTTTTTAATTGCTTTACTTCTCTCATGCAGGTACAACGTCCTGCTGTTTGTGATGCTTTACTGTTTGCCAGTAACGTTTAACCTCACCATCAGCTTCCTCACGGGGAGACGACTTTGGGGAGGAAGGAAATCCACTTTCTCTGATCTGGATCCTCGCAGCCAAGCTCTTCACACCTCCCGACTAAAGACTAGGCAGAAGATTGCCAAGATGGTGGTATGTCTGGTGCTTCTATTTGCACTTTCCTGGCTGCCACTTTATTTGGCTGATCTTTTCATTGACTGCGAACAGAGGCCTTCTTCTTGGCTCCTGCAGACACGTCCCTTTGCTCAGTGGTTGGGCTTAACAAACTCCAGCCTTAACCCCATCTGTTACTGTTTCATAGGAGATCTGTATCGTTCTGCGAAGGTCATACGGACACGATACTACCAGAAAGTGGCTGCTGTCTTCAATAATTCATCATTCTCGAGCTCAGCTGCTGTTGTTGCTCCTTCAACCAAGATTAAAGAGAGCAAGGTGTCTGCTGCAGAGTGCCACCGCATAGCTGCTGCTGTGGCAGCTTCTGCATCTGTGGTCACAATCCCTGGCCTGCTGGGCTTAGCCAGACATAAGGGACTAAGGCAAGAGGTCAGAGTGATATCAGACAGCCAAAGAGCATCTGACCAAAGCATCTCAGACTGGTGTCAATCTAATCCCAGTGTATACGATAGCTCTTTATTTCCCTGCCAGCTTCACTCACTTCAGCATTCCTCACAAAAGGCGGATATCCTTCCAGCGAGACGACACTCTACAAATGTGGTATCATTACCTCCTCAAAGTGAACCTGTAGAGATGGATTTGCTACCACTGAGGAGGAATTCGGAGGAAGGAATTTATTGTCTGGAAGCCAACAAGAGGGATCTCAGTACCCTCAACCAGGGCACTTTTTACTTTGTGGGACAGCACAGAAGCACTGCATCAAAAAAACACTTCCTGGGGGGAAACGTGGAGAATGAAACAACAAATATTACGAGCCTATGAAGGTTGGAGTTTATCGGATCTATCAATGGAGAGGAATTTCCTCCTTTTGTCCTGCAGGGAATAAAAACACATTGTTTGGTGCACAGCTTGCACCTGACAGAATGTAGAAAAAACATTGGAAAACAAACTGTCTTGTGGAACAGCGAGCCAAGTCTCTACTCTCATTCTTTCTACATCTGGTTGTATTTTGGGCTTTGGAAAGAAAGCGGATGGAGCAGCGATGTGTTAACCTCTGCAGGAGGGAAAGCTGGAATGGTATTTATTTAGTTATCAGTAAGAGAGACAGATTGGTGCAGTGTGCCATAAAGTTTAACTCATATTATAGTCACAGCAGTTTCTGTCATCTGCTTGAGACTATAAAACAGCAGGGTTTAAAGTTTAATGAGCTTTTGTAAAGATTTGCTTTGTCTCTCATTAAATGCTAATAGTTCTGACTGCATTTGTTGCTCACAGAAAATATAAACCCTTTTCTTATTGTGCAATATTGAAATATACTGCATGCAAATATCTGATGGGGTTTATCCATCTCATTCAATGTCTGATACAAAATCTAATAATGTCGCAAAAGGTTTCAGTCACGAACTGAAAGACGTTAAGCACTCTTACCCCATTAATTGCGGCTCTTGGGAACTATTGAATAAAACTGACCTATGACAACTAAAAGTATTGCTGTTTTGGTTTTAATTTTCATAAAAAAAAACCTGATAAACCTCCCTGCAATTTTTCCACGATCTGTGTCATTGTTTGTACATAGTTATGAGGTGAATTCTTACTTTTTAAACAAGCCAAAACCTGAAAGTAATTTTATTTACCCCAGTACCCCTTAATGAAATCCAGTTTAACAAGGTTTTAACTTATTCCGAGTAAATCTGGTGGATAATTAATCAGAGGATGATCTTACATGCCCATATTATTAAGGAGGGGCAACAAGGCTTTACAGATAAGAAGGAAAACGCATTTAAAAGGTTTGCGGTTGCAAACCCTACATCTGACATTGATAAAACAGTAATGTGTGACAAAACAACAACCATGGAAGAAGGTACTTGAGTCAGATGTAACCAAAATGGAAAGTTTTGACTAAAGTATGTGGGATAAAACTAACATTGCATCTCAAGTATCATCCTCACAGGGAAACACAGCGATGCAGGCTGGTGGAGACCTATGTCAAAACACTTGGAATGAATGGTGGTTTTATAAAGAACTGAATAAGTGCAACTAAATATAAAGGCATACCCAATTCTCTGATTGGTTTTGGAAAAAAATTTAAAACTACAGATTATTTTCTATCCACTATATCCCTAGTGTACTGTTGATATTGTTGTTACTCATGTTTATGGGTCTGATGGACCAGTTGCATTTTGGCGCTTTTAATGCCTCACAATCAAATACTTTCATGTTAAAATACTGAACAGATGCTTACCTTATCACAATTACAAGCAGTGTAAACAATATATATGGTTAATATATGCCCTTTACCTTTGTTATGTCACATTTATAACTTATTATTTAAAACATAATCAAGAAAATCTGTAATTTTTTTTTATTTAACCAGGAAAAAATTCCCATTGAGATCAAAATCCTCTTTTTCAAGGGAGTCCTGGCCAAGAGGCAGCAAAGTTACATAAGAAACATACCGGTATATATATTAAAAGAAATGACAGGTACATAAAAAAAACCCAAACATATCAAGTAAAACAATTACAGATTGTTTTTTTTTGTTGAGGCTGATTCTTTCACTTTTAACTTAAAAGCAATTAAAGATTAAAAACTCTTTAAATGCTTCCAGTCAACTTCCAGTTTTTTTGAAAAAAATTCATGCAAAAGGAACTGCGTAGCTAAAGGCTTTCTTCCCTAGTTCTGTGCGAGCAAAAGGAACAGTGAGCAACAGCTGACTGTTGGATCTTAGGGCATAAGAAGCCATGTTTTTCTGTGTAAGTGAGGTACAAATGTAACAGGGCAAAAATCCAAGAAGGGCCTTGTAATTATCAAGATATGAGTGGAAACAAATTTACAAGTGAAGCAAGGTTTTACAAAACTACTGACTTTTATTTCTTTGAACTTGAAATTTAACCCATTCAGGTGTACAACACAAGCTGAACACAGGAACACAGAGTAAACTTATCAGTCAAGACAACACATTAGCCGCATTGAACACATGGCCTTTAGCCACTAGCCTATACAACACATGAGTTTTACTGTGTGTGTTGCAGATATACTTTTTGCACTTGATACATGTATATTGTGTTCTCCTGTCCATCTTGGGTCCGCACACTTTGCACCGCTCCTTCTTGTTGCTGGTGCTCACAACCTAGAATAATTAAAAAATCTGGAATTCTACTAACACCTATCTCTCTCTTTCTTACAAAAGACATGAGTGCCAGACATGTACTGCAACAGCATCACACACTTACTTCAGGCTCTGCAGATTGTGGCTCGGTAGGTTCAGTGAACAGGGCACCAGCATTCTTCTTCTGAATCCTCCTCACCATGGCTGCAGAGACTGGGGTTCTGGGGAAATATTTTCTTCTCTCGCTTGTGGTCTTACCACTGCCTTTCTCAAATCATCAAGAAAGAGCTGTCTTTTCTGCAGCTTCACTCGTTTCCACTCTTGGTTCAAGGCCATCCAAATGACAAAGGCATTGTACACTGAGATGTACAACATGTCAAAGCATCTCTGGTTTGTGATCTTCCTGGTCACAGATTTCTCCATCCTCGTGCAGTGTACTCATAAGTACCACAATCTTGCCTTTCTTTGGGATGGTGCCCTCCTGGCATGGTTAGGAGCTTTAGTGTCTTAACATTGGTGCCCTGTATCTAATCCTTTGGCCAGCTTATTATTTCTGCAGGGTATCTGATTACTGGTATATCATAGCTATTTATCGCTCGAGACTTATTCTTGCCATTGAGCTGGCTTCTTAGGACCTGGCCCAATCGTTGGAGGTATTTGGCCATAGCCGCTGTCCTTGTCACCTCTTCGAGGTTGCCATTTGCTTGTGGGTTTCCCAGGTACTTGTAACTGTCCTCATTGTCTGCTATTGTTCCTTCTGGGAGTGAGACCCCCTCTGTGTGGAGTACCTTCCCTCTCTTAGTCACCATCTGACCACACTTCTTTAGTCCGAATAACATCCCGATATCTGTGCTGTAGATTCAGGTGGCATGGGTCAGTGAGTCGATGTCTCGCTAATTCTTAGTGTATAGCTTGATTCAATAGCTTGCAATGGGGATAGCACATCTCCTTGGTACATGCTACTTTGATAGAGACTTATCCAAGTCTCTTGCCATTGGCCTTAAAGGTGCAGTAGGAGATCTTGGAAAACGGTTCCAGCAAGCTATATTTTTGAACATAAACAACCATGTCTCTCCCTTCAAATCCCTTGAAACCACACCTTCAAAACACATGAATGAGCAAGCTGTCTGCAGCGCATCTGAGCAGCTGAAGCAGCGCGTCGCACGGAGCTGGCAGGGAGACAGGCAGCACTGATGATGCAGAGAACTATGATCAATCCCCTGAAACAATTTATTAACCCCTAAATTAACTTAAAATGTCGAAATCTACCGGCAAAACATGTTCGCTTTTATTATCCTGGTGCCTGCAGTTTGGATTACGTACATAAAAAAGGCTTCCTGCCATTGCGGCAAACTGCAAGGAGGCGGCCATAGGCTGCTGTTGAGTGGATTTCCTAGTGACAACGCAACGCCGGTGTACGGCGGTCTGAGTGGCTCAAAAATTGGCATTGCATCACAGCACTATTGTTTACAAGCAGAAACAAAGATTACACTTGTAAGATGAGCAGACCATGCTGGAAATTCAATATTTTTTGTCAAAATTCACTGATGTACTGAAGCATTTCAGTTTAACTTTAATCAAACTGTGGAACCCCCTATTTTCATCCTACTGGTCAAAGTCTATTTTTGTGTAAATCCTGAAATCATGTTTAAATTATGGATAAATAAACTCTGATAATTTATAAATTATTGATTATGAATTTGGGTTTAATTAATGTCCATTTGGGATTAAATTAATTTCAATTTTGGTTTAATACAGTATTTCTGCATTTGAATTGAATTAAAAATGCACAGGATTCTTAAAGATCAGCACCATCTGCAACACAAATACTAGGTTTTTTGGTTTTATTTACCTCATAGCTTTTATGTAAAGTTGTTTTTTAGATCTCTCATAAGATCAATTACCATTCACTCTTTTGCACCACACAGACGCAGATGCAGAAGAAGAAAAAGGAAGAAAAAAAATCCAAATGCAAAGTAACGCCCTACAAAAAAAGAACAAAGGTGCCAGAAGGTATGACTGTGTGTTCATCCATGCACATACAGTGTGAGACCTAAGGACAACTTGGAGAGGTCATTTAACATACTGTACAAGTAATTTTTGGGGGGCTGTGGTTGGTAGCCAGTGCCAGATTACGCACACAAAATATACATTAGATCCAGACTGACCCTGGACCAGGACCTGAACCCAGAACCTTCTTATTGCAAAGCTAAGGTTTTGAAACATCAAAACAGCATCCACATCAAATTTAACCTAAAACAAGGTAGATAGATAGTTATCTTTTTTTTTTTGTTCATCCTCTATTCCTGTGTGGGTCTGGTGTTTTTGTTTTTGTATTTTCCTCCATCTACTAAAGAGTTAAATCCATACCTAGAATTCGATATTATCTATATTTTAATTACAGGAGATCATTACAATTCTACAGAATTGGTGTGGAGTGGAGTATTGTGCATGGGCTATTGCTATTGATATTGATAACTATTAATGAGTGCAAAAGGCAGTCATATTTAATCAAAAATACAAAGCAAGGGCTCCAGCAAATTATCAGGAAGTGAGGGCTTAGCATCAAGCTCAGTAGCCTGTTAGTACTCAAGCAGTGAAGCCTCACAAACAAAGCAAATTAAAATGAAAAAAAGATATTCAAATAGATTTACCTGGAATCAATCTCTCTGCTGAGACTTTACAGCTTCCTTTGAACCTTTATGAAAGTGGAGAGCATATTAAGTTCCACACGTCCAACAAAAAGTGAATACGTGGAAGCTGCCCTAAGTCTAGGATGAGCAAGGGTCTGCTTGAACTGAAACACGCTGTCAGTATGCAGGGCTGCAATCCATAGACCCTTAGTTAGATTTGTTCTATGGAGGCTCAAGAACCTTTTTGGCTGGAGTATGGCCACTATACACAAAGACAGCTGAGTATACTTTACTTCGGTTCAAGGTTGTTATTCAAAGATGCACGCAGTAACTCCGGCAGTGACATAAAGCTGTCCAGCCCACTGCAGCCCTAGGAGAGTAGTGGGAAGAGACACACTGCTGGGAGCAGATTTTTGTAGCTCTGATGTCATGGGGATTCCAGCTGTGACCTTTGAGTTGTCTGGACATTGGTTTTATTCTAGGACTCTGAATTTTTTATAATCTCATTTAATTCCACCTTAATCTCTGTAGACAGTTTGGTCCCTATTTTGTCTAACAGCTGAAACCAAAAAGGCGTTAATTGATTACCTCAAATAGGGTAGTTAGTCAATGCAGGTGAAGCGCATTGAGCAATCTGTTTCGGCTGTTACCCTGAAGGTCAAATGAGGACTAATCTTTCCATCGTGACTCTATTAATTTCTTTAATGTGGATTTATTTCATTCTGACTCTAT